GGAACTTTTGGAGCGTTGGAAGATATCATAAAAGAATAGGAAATTTTAATATTGAATGCATTTAAAGCTATTAGCTCAGGTCCTAAACTTTCCACAGTTTATATAGCTGACATCGCAATGTTAGAATATTGTCATCACCACGTATGCCGATGATACATGTGTCCTGTAAGTTAATAATAATGACCCAACAATTGCATCCCAAACTATTCAATCAAACATCACAACCTTGAAGAATAGTGTCAAAACTGGAGGATTGAAATAAATTCCATCGAATTACCTTTACCCTTCGTCTTAAACCTATGACCTCCTGTCCTACAGTTTCCTTTAACAACATGACTATAATAAAGCTTATTTGGACTTATGTAGTTGAGCTATGGTGGTCCACTAAACCATCGAATTCCTCTCGTATCCAATCCTTACATCCTTAATCCAAAATCCTTCATAAAATCCTCAATGATCCCTACTTTGTTACAAATAAAATCATCCATAATGACCTTAATGCTCCTTATGTTTCAGATTTGACCCAATCCAGATACCTATCCTTACATAATAAACTTCAGAATCATCCCAACCCTCTCGTTTCTAGCCTTGCTTCCTCTTCAATTCCTGATAACCCTCCGAGGCGTCTGAAAAGAAGATGGTCCCATGGTCTCCTGATGTAGACATATTATTAGTGTGCTGCCATTGGGTAGTTTCTCAACAATTTGCTAAATCCATTTCTTTAATACAGTTGTAAATATCATTAAGAAATAATAAATAAAAAAAAAAATGTTAGGAAAATTATAAGTGTAGACCATGTCTGATATGAATCGTTGCATCCTTATCTGTGTCAGTGAGGAAATGTGGAGTCTTAAAGAAGTCACTAAGCAAACGTCATAGAGATATCCTCACTGGGATTTCCTGGCTCTGTAAGGTATAATTTCCTCGTGTTTTGCTTCTTTTGGAAATTTGTAATATCTTAACTCCGAGTGATCATTCCTTTTTTACGGTGTAGCGGTAACGATTTCCAGGAGGAATCGAGAGTAGAACACATCAACCGTTCTGGATGAATATATAATGTTAGAAGAATCATTAGTTATGATTGATTTTGAATGGTTGGCGCCAAACCACTATATTATATAACTGAAATATAAATCTTCATTCTTATTTTACGTTATATTATAGTAATTCACTGAAGTTTTTATTTACTGCAGTACAGTAGTGCGTACCGGTGGTGGGGGGGGAGGGGAGACAAAGAGGGCAGTCTGCTCCATATCCCACTTATGTGCTTTTTTTTAAAGGTGATAATTACATAATACATTACAGAACAGGCCATATAGATAAGGAGAATCCGATTTTTTAAATAGAAGATTTGACTACCACTGATAAATAACCTTACTCCAAGTAAGTGGTGCCATTACTCCAAGGACTTCCGTCAGTCGAATCACGTCTAATCCGTCTATATAACAAATTTTAATTTCACCTAGACGATACAATAGCAATCTGAGTGGCTTCAACTTTATTTTGTATCAAAAAAGAGATTTTCTTTTAATTCGTACCAATTATACAAACGATTTAAGACAAAATTTATGAAACTCTAAAATATTTGTTATCTAATTTGTAAAAGCAATATGTAGCAGAATTAAGTGTTCAGTTGAACAACCCCTCTCCATCCCTACGGAAAAAACAAAACAATGTATTTATTAATTTCACCTTTTATTAGTTTACTCATTTTTCTATATAAACATATTATATTAAAATGGGCTATAGTCATGTAATTTTCTAAAAAGTTAATTAACTAGCAATCAATGAAAATATCTAAATGAAATATATACTTCTTGTTTAACTTAAGATTTTTATTGATATTTGCTTATTGTTTTAACTTAATTTTTGGAATTGGTATTAAAATATTGATTTCAGAATAAATATTTTTCTTTGACAAAATGAAGATTTTGTCTATAGACAAAATTGACGTATATTTTAAAAATAAGACAAAAACAAAAAATTATCGGTGGCAAACGGTTTATAAAGATGTTCTGAAAATGGACGAAACGTAACAAATATATATGTGTAATATAAATAAATAATAAGTTTTTATTGTTAAATGAGAATTGTTATTGTTTTTTGTGTCGAAAAAAATGTGTCCTAGTTTTTTTTTTATTATTAATTAATTAACTTTTTATTAGAATTTTTTATTGAAAATTAATACATTGGAGGGCATTAACATTAGGGTTATATTGATCATTCTCACAATATCTACATACAAATGATACTAAAACAGATAAAGCACAAAAATAGATAGATAAAACACATTCACACCTATATACAATATTTACATTCGCCCAGAGGACTCTGAGTCATGCTTTTCCCCCTAAATGTAGAAGCCAAAGCACGACTCTAGGAGATCCCAGTGCTTCTCTCCCAGCCGCGTCACTGGTATTGGAAGCCAGTGGAGACTGATGGAGGGCACTAGAGCCAGAGACGCTCAGGACTTTAATGGAGAATCTGGCCATTGCCAGTACTCCAATATATACATATTTACAGAAGGTCTCGGGTCCACTGTCGTTTTAACTTCCGTGGAGGATTATAGGGATGGCTGGAGCTGGATAGAGATTGTGCTACAAGATTTGGATGATGAGTGAGGTTCCGGTGAAATTTGGCAAATTTGTCTGGGATTAGGTCAATAATAAATGGAATATGGAGGTTATGGAGGGTTTTATTGGTTACATAGAAGGAAGCATCGACTGTTGTATTGTATTATATAGCTCCATTTTGTTTCTATGAACGATCTGAACCAAATACTTGTACAATTTGATTCCTTCGAATTATAGCGCATAGAAAATATATCTTTGTTAACGTAGGCCTTCATTTAAATTTTATATCCAGGATCCCCTGGTTGCTATGAGTTGGATCCCCCCTTCTGCAGACCAGCTGGGTAAGCCTCCAAAATAAAATCCTGGATCCGCTAGTGACCACAGCATTCTATTTAACTTCTCAGATGAAACGAAGGGGGGGGGGAGAAGTTAAAAGTAAAAATTTATGCCAATTACATTAAAATCTTGGTTAACTAACATCTCAAATACTACTGAACCAAAGCTTTCTGTAAATATACAGTACATTTAATAATATAATTTTGAATGATAATTTAATATTATATAGTTTAATAATCACCCTATCGTAATAGAGTGGAAAGTATCACCCACTATCATAGCGATTGTTTATGAATTCAAAATTAACTAAGCAAAAATCAATTGACAAATCAACTTAGCCTTCATTTAGTGAACTTTAATTTTTTTTTTAATCTTACTCTGAGATTTAATTAATTTTGTTAGTATCTTTTCACAGTTATTTTTTTGCCTTTTGGTCAATTCATTAACTATTAGTATTTGATCGCTATTTATTGAACATTTCGTAAAATCTTTTGTCTCCCCTCCCCCTTCAACAATCAATAAAAAGAATATATTATAGGTTCTATCATAAACCACCCACTATAAACTAAAAATTACATAACATTTAAAATTAGTTAAATAAATATAAATTATTTTATATACATTTGATAAAAACACAATTTACTTGTATCGTTATATTGGCTATAACTAGAGACTGTATTTTCATGATATTGCACATTTTGTTCGCTTTGGTATAAAAACATCATACTCCCCAATACATCCGTTTCACGATGTGTACAATAACATACTGAAATTTCATTTTGCACGAACTTGTAGGTTTTTGGGCTTAATTGCAGGTTTTTGGTTTTTATTAGATGATATTGGTTATTTTACAATCTACGAAGAACAAGGCATGGGTACACTACTACAGTTTGTGTTTCCTTCAATGCAGTCTAGATATGAAATTTACTCAGGAGGACGGACTCAGATAACATCAGAGCAGTTTGTCATGTTCAATAAATTATGCAGGAGTAAATTCCTCAAACCAGGGCCATAATTGGAACATATTTTCATTTGCTTGACGACAATACGCGACTTCAAAAGTTGTTCATCAATGTCTTGAAAATCTGGATATTTCTCATCTGCCCCTTCCCGTATTGTCTCCACATCTCAATCCTTTTGAGCACATGTGGGCTGCACTGCAGAGAACTTTTTTTCAATCACCATTTACAGCTTCTTAACCACCAGCAACTAAGAGAAGTTACAACTCACAATCATATAACCTTTAATTTAATTTTATTTTTTAAACACCTTTAATAAAATTTCCCATGGTCAAATACAATCTTATTTATATTTATTTTCAATGTATTATATAATACTAATAAAATAAATATTACAGGGAAAATAAATTATACTTAAATAATAATACCCCTATTCATTTTTAAGCAATATATATTTAGTAATCAAGTTTTAAGACTTGCACGCGATAATTGTACATTTTATGTGTCCAAAACTTATTTTTCAGTGAGGATAATGAAGAAATTTTCTTTATGTATATTAAATGATCTTATAGGCTTTGAGTTTTTACCAAATTTTCCTAATTTTTATGTTATACATTACAAAGAACAAGATTTTTTCTTATGTATGATTGGGATAACATATAACGACCTAAAACCCTTTTGTATGTATAGATACCTTTTCTTTCCCTTTGCACTGTTTGTGTACACAGGCGGATCTACGGGTGAGGGGGGGCTTTCGGGCTGAAGCTCCCCTCCTTCCCCCAAATGATAAAATATTAACATGTTTTATAGAAACAAATATTAAAAACTATCTCTTTAAGTATTGTTGTTCGTGTAATTACATTTAATAGGACTTCAAGAATCACGTAAACACTATTTCATATATGTAGTTAATTTCTTTTTTTTTTTTCAAATTAATTATAGTTTTATATAAATGAAAAAAAAATCTTTCGGGCTGAAGCCTCACCCAAAATTAAATCCTGGATCCGCTAGTGTTTGTGTATGTATATACATACCTTTCCTTCCCCTTTGAATTTTTTTGGGTGGGGATTGCGATAACGATTCTGGGGAGGGGGGTGCTGAATAATAATACATGCTCAAAACACAGACTATGATTCTTCGGTATGTACAGAAAAGGTCCTCTCTCCTTCGATGGTGAGTAGTAATACTAAAAATAATTATAATTTCTAATTTATTAACAATAGATAAGATTACCACTAAAAACAATTTCTATTACTCCTCATTTTTTATTTTGCTTTTGCTGTTTAACCCACAGTTATAGATTTTTAACAAAACAGTGCGACGATCAATCAATGAGTAGAAAGAAAAAAAAATTTTAATGACATTGAAGTGGATGTATTCAGATTAGGAATAGATACGTACAATTTACAGAATCCTAGTGACAATTAGGTATTATGATGTATGCTATATTGTATTATTGGAAGTCTATGTATGTTAATGATTTAAATTAATATGGTACAAGGCACCGAAAGCTCCATTGTATCGAAAAAAATCTGGTGTGTCCACTCACACGACTTTCCTACCTATTTCAGAAAAGTTTTTATATCTTTAAATATGTTCATTAAGACACCAAAATTCTATTAGATTTATTTTCCTGAAAATCGATTAAAGGAAAGATTTGAGTACGATTTATTTGATAATCTAAAGCAATGTAAACCGGCTTGCGGTAGATCAGTGTAAATATTTCAATACCCTCTAATATTGCTAATCAAAAACTTTTTGCCATAGTTTAATTTTGTCACACAATAATTTCTGTTAAAAGTAGAGGGAATAGTAAAGCTTGTGTGATGCGGGCAACAGGTTTTCTTACTTTCACTTAGTTTTCTATTTTCTCTGTCATTCATCCCTTTCTGACACCGGCAATCTTTATATACGAAACTGAATAGTAGTGTTTGTTGTGAACAGTGTTTTAGTAATAGCGAAGTTACAGCTATTCAATTTCGTATGTAAGATTAAGGGAAATTATGTGAGGAAGGGGTGAATGATAGAGAAAAAAGAAAACTAAATGAAAGTAAGAAAAACTATTTGAGCTCAGGGGGCTCTGAAACGTATAGATCCGTCAAAAAACGCATATCGGAAATTCGACCCGATCGCATTACTTTTCTTACCTAGTATAGGTAGGAAAGTAATAAACTAAAACATGTGTAGATAATAGAATACGCTGTATCACCGCTAATATTGGTTCGATTCCTTTTTTTTTTTTTTTTTTTTTTTTTTTGTAATTCAATTACCTTTCAAAAGTTTTATTATAAATTTTACCATAGAATATATACTTAGCGAGTTTGATTCGAGTTCGTTTGTGAAAAATATTTATTTATTCCGTTACATAAGCCGTCAACTTAGTGGTCGGAAACCTTACTAGGGTATAACCAGCCTTTATAAAATGGGTACCTAATCAAGTAATTAATCAAGGGGAAAATCTGGCGGTATCGCGTCTTCTCGATCAATTCATCTCGTACGACCGTTGACCAAGACACCTTTCATCCTTACTAAATATTTCATAAATTACTTAAAACTAAACTCATAAAATACTTCAAGCTGAAGCTCCATCAGAATAGTGAAATCATGTCTTATGAAAAAAATATCTCAAGAAGTATTATTGTTCGTGTAATTACATTTTAATAGGACTTAAAGAATCACTTAAACACAAGTTCATGTAGGTAGTTACTTTCTTTATTTTTCTTCCAAAGTAATTAACGTTAAATATATTTAAATAATGCTTTCGTGCTGAACCTGAAGCATTGGAGGGGGGGGGACACAAAAAATTAAATTCTGGATCCACTATTGATAAATACCTGAGACTCTTCACGGTTTATAGTGGTACAGATTTTTTCATTAATAAGATTTTGATTTACATTGTTGTAATGTTTTATTTTATTTATTTATTCATAAAAAATAAATATACTCTTTCAAGGTTAATATTCACAATTACTATGATAAACTATGGCAACACACTCAAAAGGAATGAGCATTGCCAATCTCAAGTTTCAGCAAATGTGCGCTTGCTTGTCAAATTTACTTTCTTTAAACTCGTCAAGTTTTTTGGTCGTTTACAGGCGATAACATTAAAGCTGGGAGGATTGGAAAAGAGAAGCAAATCGTAGCCAATTTCGCAATGGCCATAAACTCTAATTGTCGCAATTAAACGTTACTGACAGGGACAATAATGTTAATTGAACAAGTAGGAGATAGGATTTTTTTTACTTTTTTTTAATAGTTGCAATTATAAATATTTCATAATTTCAGAACCACCTATGTCTTCACAAGCCCGCAAGACTGGCTTTCCAACACATTAAAGGCTTCTGAAAATATAGTAATCATGGAATTATACAGCTTGGAATGTCTTATCATTATTACGACGTTAGTTATGCAGAAATACATTTCAGCGTGTATAAAAATAGATTATAAACAGATTGCAGTTATTATCAATTAGAAATTTTCCGCTGTCTTCCAAAACAGTAAACACAAAAAGACGTAGTTTGCAGTAATTAGTTGTTTTTGTTCTTAGTTTCATTAAAAAATAAAACAAAAGGTCATGATATTTTAGAGTAACTATTTATTTTTAAGAAATACCAGACTTTCACCCAGATATTTCTTTTTATTGATTATAAACCATTTTGGCTTAATCAAATATGATAAAAGATTTTATCTTTAGAATCTTTACTTTAAAAAAAACTAAAAATGTTACTAAAAATTAATGCCGATAATTTCCTAGACGATTATCCTGATTCTGTGAGGCGGACGATCATCATCATTCATAATTAGATTGAATTTTATTTCGAAGGTTAAGGAATATGAATTAATATGAAAATCAACTTTAAGTAGCAACGCAAGTAATTAAGACCAATAATTTAGTTATTACAATGTCTTATGAATGTATCTTATTACTATACAGGAAGTTTCAGGGTTATGTGGCCACAGTGCAAAAATGTACTAAGAATCTCCAAACAAGAAAAAAAAAATCCTCTGAAAGTATGACCGCAAACGCTTTGTTTAGGAGATATTCACACCTAAAGATTTTCGTTGTTACGAATTATTTACGTTATATGAAATAAATAAAACCTATTTATTTGTTCTAACTACTTTGTTAATTAAATTTAAAGATTAACATTCATATTAAATGTTGTTCAAAGTGATTTCCTTGAGCATTAAGACAGGCTCGCCATCTTTCTTCAACAGCAGCAGTGGCAGAATGGCACTGGATATGTGTTATTTTTTCACAAGATTCAATTATCCTTCTTCGTAAGGTCATTGACCGGACCTGCATAGACTTTTTGTTTAATGTCATCCCAAACAAAAAAATCCAGTGGTGTCAGGTCTGGAGTGCGTGCAGACCAAGCCACTGGTCCTGCACGGCCAATCCATTGATTAGGATATCATGGAGCAAGTCCGGTAAATGACCTTAATTAATTACGAAGAAGGTTAATTGAATTTTGTGAAACAATAACACATAGCCAGTGCCGTTCTGCCACTGCTGCTGTTGAAGAAAGATGCCAAGCCTGCCTTAATGCTCAAGGAAATTACTTTGAACAACATTTAATATGAATGTTAATATTTATATTTCATTAATAAAGTATTTATAACAAATAAATAGGTTTTATTTATTTCATACAACGTGAATAATTCGTAACAACGAAAATCGTTAGGTTTGGATATCTCCTAAACAAAGCGTTTACGGACATACCTTTAGAGGAAACGAACTAAGGACCTCATCCTTAGTTCATTTTTACAGTTTGGGCACTTAACCCTGAAGCATCCTGTATTTTATGACTTATTATACAAGCCCATATTGATTTGTCTGTTTATTTCAATACTAATTGCATTGAAATATTTTAAGCATCTAGCCATCCAATCTATGCCAAAGCAAAACATGTAAAATGTATGATATAAGAAATAATGAAACATTTCATCATTTGCATGAATATTCCATTTATACCAATACAAACTGTATATTCGTAGAGGAGCCTAGAACATATCCTTCCTTTGTCAATTTTCTTACCACTAATTATTATATTAGCAGGGAGTGAAGTGGCTCATTGAGTTAGAAACTGGATTCCTAAGCTCAAGGTTCCAAGTTTAAATAGAGCTAAATGTCAAGTACTTTTTCATCAGCCGTGGATCGACCCAGTGGTCGGGAGAATTTCCTGACCCAGCCTGTATCAAATGGGGTATAACTTGGTGGTCAAGCGTGATCGTGGCCTTATCAGCTCCCTGCCCAACCGTTGGCTTTGAAAAAGTGCTTCTTAACAAAGTATTGAACTCAAAACTCTTCATGGATTTTAGTGGTACTAGAAAAAACATTATATTAACATTCGATATATCGATATTTTACTACGAAATATTGGTATTTTATTATTTCGTTGTACTTATAATGTTGTTTTTTTTCTTAGATTTTAATTTTTCCACTGTCCTTAATTGTGACAGGTTGTAATATTTCTGAATAACAATAAACTTTACAGAACGATTATCAGTACAATCAACTTCAATAAGCAAAAAGTTCTTATTAGGCCACCTTGAGTGGAGGCCAGGGCGCAACGCACATCTCACCCCTTCCCCCTAGATAGGGCTTCTAGACCTACTTTCTCAAGTAATGGAGAAGACAAAATAACACTTAAACCCTTGAGAAGTCTTGGGTTCAGTACTTTGTAAGAAAATATCATTTCTTGATCAACGGTTCTACAAGGAGGTGACCCGATTTGAACGGGATCATGCTCAACCGCCAGGATTTCCTCTTTAATCAATCCTTTATTTAAGAGTGTCAACATTATAGATTGTGGATGAAACAGAATCGATAATCCCCGGCCTCAGCCGGACTCTAACCTGGGACCCGGAGCATAGGTGTTCCACAGTTCCTTACTCACTAATAAGCGGAGGTAACAGTCTGGGTTAATGGTTTCAACCATTCTTTCGGTGATACTATATTAAAGAATATTACACACATGCCACGGCGTTCTTTCGAATGGGCCCTATAGGAGCCTCGAAAAAAAAAGCGTTTTACGTGATTTAAAACAGAAATTATTTTATTATTTTTAGCTCTGCTTGCCCAGATTTTTAGATTATTATGTACAAATCGATTTCTGTTTTTTTTTTTTTTTAGCGAACTTCCGGACGACAATTTAAAATAAAATTGTTAG